AGCCTGCCTCTGTGTCCCGAAACCGAGGGGCTATCTCGACAACTGAAGCAGAGAACAACCGTGCCAGGAGGATGCTGGGTAGTTGGAACGCATGCCAGGGAGGGGCCGTGCTCAGAACACCGGCGGGAAGGAGGGAGGGGGTGCGGGATGCGGCTAAGGGAAGGCTGACCGGGCGCCACGGCTGTGGGCGGCACACCACGCGGCCCCTGCAGGCCCCAGTGGGACGAATTCCGACCTGACCTGGCACCTGTGTGTCGCCTGCTCAGCAGGTGTGTGTCCGGACCCCGCTGTGGGGGCAGGCGAGACGCGGATCTGGCCTTTTAGCCTCTTGTTGAGAGTGAGGCCCAGGCTCCCCCCAAAGACTCACACAACGAAGATCGACTCCGATGTCGGGGAGCAATCCACGCGCTCAGTAAAGACGCCCATCCCATAATGCCGCTGTGCTGTTAGGATGATTCAATGACATGGCGTGTGACCCTGATATTCTCAAACATTTCCCCTAGAGCAGTGGTCCTCACTATCTCTTTGGCCACGCCCCCCAAGCATCTCTAACATCCTGACGCCCCCCTCCCTGTGACCTATAATTCTTTTTTTTTTAATATATTTTATAAATATATTTTATTCATTTTTTACAGAGAGGAAGAGAGAGGGATAGTTAGAAACATCGATGAGAGAGAATCATTGATCAGCTGCCTCTTGTACCCCCCCACTGGGGATGTGCCCACAACCCAGGTACATGCCCTTGACCTGAATCGAACCTGGGACCTTTCAGTCTGCAGGCTGATGCTCTCTCCCCTGAGCCAAACCGGTTTCAGCTATAATTCTTATTATTCAAAACGTGAGCCCTGTTCACATGGAGGAAGACTCAAAGGCCATGAACTTGATCTAAATAAGCTTCCCCAGAACATGGCCTCCGTGAGAGAGAAAGATAAGAGAACAAAAGGGCAGCGGAAGGCCTGAGGAAGAAATCACTAGGAAATTGTTAAAATTATAATAAGAGGAAGTGATATGGAAAAATAGCAAATAAATTTTCAAAACATAATAGAGAATTGAAATGCATCAATATGCCACAATATATATCTATAGACTATATGTGAGGCCCCTGGAACTGTAAGAAATGTAAAAAAATTCACTGTCAATAACTCATTCTCCCCTTAAGCATCACATTGGCCCTAGCAGGTTTGGCCCAGTGGATAGAGCGTCGACCTGCGGATTGTAGGGACCGGGGTTCGATTCCAGCCATGGGCACATGCCTGGGTTGCCTGCTCCATTCCTAGTGTGGGGCGTGCAGGAGGCAGCTGATCCATGATTCTTTCTCATCACTGATGTTTCTCTCTCTCCCTTCCTCTCTGAAATCAATAAAAATAGATTTAAAAAAAAAACACACACACAATAAGACCACCCGGAGCAGGGTCTGCAGTCAGCGGGGGGTGGGGCTAGGGTAAGGGCAGTGATGAGGGGCCCCGCACACATGGCTATCCCTTCAGACACTTCAACTGATCATCGCTGTGGTGGCTGGGTTTTCTCCAAATTCCACCCCCCATTCATTTCCTCGTTCGCTAAGGGGCGGTTTGGGGTTCTGGGGTAACCGAAAGCTCAGGTCAAACAGATCTTTGAGCCCCTTTGTTGCTTGTCCGGTCACTTCGTAGCTTTGAGACCTTGGGCACCTGTGTGGCTTTTCTCCGGAGCCTGTAACGTGGGGACAGTGGGATGACCTACCTCAGGGTGGGTATGAGGACGGAATGCCGGCCCACAGCACGGTGCCCGGCACACACAGGCCCAGGTCCATGTGAGCCGCTGCTGTCCCTGAAGGATCCGTGTCAGCGGCTTCGGGGTAACGCCCGGACACGCCCTGGTGGAAGGACTTTGGCCCTGGCTCAGGGTTAACTGTCCTCGCTCGGCTGCTCCAGCAGGTGGGGCAGGGCCCTGTGGGGAGGGCACCCCGTGGAGGTTCCGGGTGCTCGCTGCTCTCCACGCTGGGTGACCCCAGTGTCATCTGGGTCCCTCTGCTGTGTGCGGAGGTGGCTGTGGTTGCTCAGGGGGTCTGGGCAGAGCGGCGGGGCCAGGAGACCCACGGCCACAGTACCGTGCCCGGGCTGCAGGCCCAGCAGTCTCCATCTTCTTCCCGTCTGCAGCGCGGGGAGTGGCTGAGTCACGGTCCAGGCTGGCGCGGCTCCAGCTCCGTGTTCTGGATTCCTCAACAGTCTAGACGCACAGCTGGGCAGCGGCTCCTGTTCCTTTGTCTGTGGGAGAGGGAGATGAGGCTGTTATTCGTGCTCTAGAAACGAACGGGGTTCTGAGTCAGCATCGCGGGAGCACTGCTCTGGAATAAACCTCAATTGGGCCCTGGCTGGTTTGGCTCAGTGGATAGGGATGGGGTTGGGGGGGGGGGGACCACTGGAGGGCTCCAGGGCATGTCCAGCCTATCTCGCTCGGTCCCCATCGGCCAGACCCCAGCAGCAAGCTAACCTACTAGTTGAAGCATCTGCCCCCTGGTGGTCAGGCACATCACAGCGAGCAGTTGAGCGGCCTTAGCATATCATTAGCATATTATGCTTTGATTGGTTGAACGGAAGACCAGACACCCAGACACTTAGCATATAAGGCTTTTATTATATAGGGCAAGTCTGCTATGAGCATGGATGTGCAAATATCCCTCTGGGACCCTGCTCTCTATTCTTTTGGGTAACTCCCTCTTTCCCAGAGGTTTCATGTCATTCAACTGTGGTCTGAAAATAGTAAACAGGAAAAGCCCAGAAATGAGAATACAAGAATGCAAGTTTTAAGTGGCAGGCCGTGCTGAGTGCTCTGATGAAACCTGCTCCGTCCCACCCGGGATTTGAGTCAGCGCCGTCTCCAGGATCCCCACCCGGGAGGCATAACCCTTATTTCCTTAATCACGGCCTCAAAGTACAAGAGTGATTGTGCTGTGGCAATTCATAGAGGCCAGGGAGACGCCCTGAAGTGCTTCCTTGTAAGTGAAAAGGTGAAAGTTCTCGACTTAATGAGGAGAGGAAAAAAATTGTATACTTTTTTTTTAAGGTCTACAGGAAGAATGACTCTTCCCTCTGGAAGATTGTGAAGAAGGAAAAAGAAAGTTGTGCTTGTTTTTTGTTTTGGAAAAAAAAATTTTTTTTTTTTGTATTGCTTGTTAGAAAGAGAGGAAGGAAGGGGGAGGGAGAGAGAAACATCGATGTGAGAGTGAACCACTCATCAGCTGCCTCCTACGAGCCCCCAACTGCACGGCCCCCTATTGGGGGTCGAGCTGGCAACCCGGGCATGCCCCCTGACCGAGAATGGAGCCAGCAACCTTGCAGTGGACGAGATGACACTGAGACGCACCAGTCAAGGTGGAGATGCCATTTTTTTGTTGGTTTGTTTTGTTTTGTTTTAAATATATTTTTACTGACTTCAGAAACAAAGGGAGGGAGAGATAGGGCAATAGAAACATCAATGAGAGAGAATCACCTATCAGCTTCCCCCTGCACGCCCCACACTGGGGATCCAGCCCACCATCCGGGCATGTGGGGCTTTGGAGCAGGGAATGTTGCATCCATCGCAATCCTTTATACACTTTTACTATATTTTATTGATTTTTCCCTTTGCAAAACAGAAAGCCCCCGGAGAGTCTGAGTGCCAGTAAGATGTGCCCCACAGGATGGGATCCAGAGCGATCTGTGTGCCTCACAGCCCACAGACCAACGCCTCATCGTCTGGACACGTGTCCGTGTCCGGGCCTGTCACGGTCCGATGTCTATTCCATGGAAACCCACCGTCTTGAGGAAATCCCCTTTCCTGCCAGCCACCCCCGTGACCCCCTGGGGCCAGCAGGATCCCGGGAGACTGTGCTTATTCTGCAGGGATCTGGGGGGGCCGCACGGAAGGGGGATGCACGCACCCTGCTGGCCTCACGCAGCCCATGACAGCTGGCTCTGGTTCTGCCCCGGTTGCAACTCACTCCAGTCTCCCGGGGCCAGACACCACTCTGAGAAGTTCAAGTTCCAGCTTGGGAGACAATCAGCAAGAGGAAATATGGCCGGGCTGGTAGGGGGGGTCCCTCCATGCCTGCTTCCCTGTGTCCCCAGACTGAGAGACAGAGGGAGACAGAGCCCGTAGCGGGCGGACAGACGGCCGTTTCTGAGACTCCCTGGACCAACGGGGCTGATGAGGGCTCTGGTCCTGCTTCCCTGCCTTCCCCGGGCTGGGCTGGGGGCTGGCCCCCGCTCCCCCTCCTTCTGTCTCTGTGTCCCTCCAGCCAGCTCTCCGGCCCCACAAACACAAACATCCTCCAGTGCGAGGCTGGTGGCAGCTCAGAAGCTGGGGCGCATTCCCCGAGTTCCGATCCCCCCGAGATGTTTACTCTGGGGGCGGAGGGTGAGAGAGGAAAGGGCGATGTTGCAATCCGCTCCCTCCACGCCAGGCAGCCCAGCCGGCAGTCAGCTGAGCGATTAGGTGGCGCAGAGGCAGAGGCAGGGCAGCGGGACATGGAGCCTGCCCTCTCCGCAGACCTGACTCAGGCTTCCCTGTCTTACGACGGGAGATGGCAACCTGGCCACGTGCTCGGTCGAAAACGAACCTGAAACCAAAGCCGCTGACGGCAGGGTCAGGATTCCCCGCTCTGAAGTCAGGAGGTGAGTCACCCTGAAGAGGGACGTAGCCCGCAGGCAGCAGGGAAGTGGCCGCAGAGAGACAGAGGCGCCAGAAGCAGGAAGCAGGCAGGTGAGGGTGAGCGGCGGGATGGGGGGGTCAGGGCCTGTTTTGGGGAGGCTGGGAGGTCAGGGGAGGTGGCCTCCTGGCCCTGTGTCTGCCCAGCAGGACCACAAGCCCTGGCACTGCATTGCCAGGACGCCGGCAGGGTGGCAGGAAGCCAACTTCCCTTTGCCAGGTGGCGAGCGTGATAAAGGCGGGGCGCAGGGCACAGGCGGGCTTGGGGGGGGGGGCGGCCCCCTGAAGGCTGATGCCCTTCCCGCCTCCTGCTCCCCATCCAGTGCCGGGCAAGCATGGCGAGCAGCCTGGAGGCGGTGGCCATAGACTGCGAGATGGTGGGGCTGGGGCCCCACAACAAGAGCGGCCTGGCTCGGTGCAGCCTGGTGGACGCCGGGGGCAACGTGGTCTATGACAAGTTCATCCGGCCCGAGGGCGTCATCACCGACTACAGGACCCCCGTCAGCGGGGTCACCGCCCGGCACATGGAGGATGCCACCCCCTTCGCCGAGGCCAGGCTGGAGGTGAGTGAAGGAAGGGCCGTGTGCCCGCCGGGCCAAGGCGGGACCCGGAAGGAGGAGGGGAGGGCACTGCCGACACCATCACCCCAGCACAGAATACCTCTCAGGCGCCTTCCCTGAGGGCCAGATTCCTGACCTGTACCCTCACCCCTGCACGGGGAGCCAGGGCGTGGAGACTCCTCTGGGGGTACCCGTGCTGCCCCCCCCCCACCTGTGCTTCTGGCCCTCCTGCTGGTCTGGGATGACAAACTAGGGTCCCACCCAATGGTCCCCACACGGATCTGGGGGCTGGATCCCCCATTCTTTCCTCTACACCCAAGGTGGAGACGTGGGCGGGTCGGGGCGGAGGCCCTCCTGGTCCCTAAAACGCTGGCCCGAGGGCAGGGCTTGTTCCCTGGCCGGCTGTCAGTGCGCCAGTTGTCTGTCTGTCCCTCTGGGGCCCCGAGACCCACCCCCTCCTTCAGCCACGCCTGGTTCAACTTTCCGTTTCTCAGAATCACTGAACAGAAAGCAAGCGCAGGCTCGCCGCAGGTGGCCCAGGTTTCAAAGGGCGAACGCACTGCACTGGTTTCGCCGCAGCTGGGCTTTGGGGATGCCCGCGTGGAACAGAGAACGGGGGTTTGTCTCAGCTTCCCACGCCTCTGAGCCAGGCTCAGGTGCTGGAGAGAAAACCACAACAATAGCTACTGTGTTTGGGGGGTTGTTTTTAATCCTGACCCAAAGGACGTGTTTTCATTAGAGAGAGAGAGAGACACACACACACACACACACACACACACACAGAGAGAGAGAGAGAGAAAGAGATTTTTAATGTTCCATCTTTACTCTTTTTTTTAATGCTAAGGATCACGAGTTTTTTGTTTGTTTGTTTTTAATATATTTCATTGATTTTTCACAGAGGAAGGGAGAGGGATAGAGAGTTAGAAACATCGATGAGAGAGAAACATCCATCAGCTGCCTCCTGCACACCCCCCATTGGGGATGTGCCTGCAATCAAGGTACACGCCCTTGACCGGAATGAACCCGGGACCCTTGAGTTTGCAGGCTGAGGCTCTCTCTATCCACTGAGCAACCCGGTCAGGGCCATCTTTACTTTTTTTAATCTTTATTGGTGAGATGTGTCCCTTTTCCTCCCTCCACCTGGTTCCTGCCAGGCCTTCACCACCCTACTGTCCGTGTCCATAGGTGAGAGAGAGAGAGAATGTGATGAGAGGGAAACACCCATCAGCTGCCTCCTGCATGCCCCCCGACTGGGGAATCACACCCGTCACCTTTGGGTGTATGGGGCGGCGCTCCCGCCAACACAGACGTAGCGGCCAGCCAGGGCGCCACAGCTGCTGTGCACTGAGCACTGGCACCGGGTTCCTGACTCTCCGTCTCCAGCGCTTTCATGCCTCACACAACCGCCTGCTGAGATGGGGTCCCAGGAGGTACCTCGGGTCTGACTCCCGGCTGGTTCCTCCTCCTCTCCGCACTCAGTGGCGGGCTTGATCCCCAGTAGAAGGCGTGCAGGAGGCAGCCAATCCATGATTCATCAAGGATGTTTCTCTCTCTCCCTCTCCCTTCCTCTCTGAAGTCAATAAAAATATACTTTTAGAAGAAGAAGAAAAAGAGACGGGACAGCTCAGGGGCTAAGGAGAGGCCAAGGACACTGAGCGGAGCTCCCCACGCTCAGATCCCCACTGAGCAGGCAGGTGGGCGGCTGGACCCCCATCCTTCTCCGCCTCCTCAACCTCCCTCCCATCAGATCAGCCTAAAGCAGAAGAGCCTGGAGCAAGGGGAGGGACAGGAGGCAGCAAAGAACCACTTGTGGCACCTCTGGGTGTGGGCTTTCAGGCAGTTCCCTGGACGCCCTGGGGGTCCTCGTCCAGCCTTGCGTGCAGAAATGCTTTGGTTCTCATCACCTGGAGGCGATGCCAGGCCCAGTGCTTCTCGTGAGTGGCACACTGCCCTGCCTAGGGCAGGCACCGAGCCATTCCCGGAGCGAAGCAGGAATCTGAAATGGGTCATTGGACCCACAGGTGGGGTTCCCGCTTCCTGCTCCATCACTGGCTGGCCTGTGTGACCTTCCGAAAGCGATGGGTCCTTTCTTTTTTAAATATATAGACTAATGAAGGAATGGAGGAATGGATATAGGAATAATGGATGAATGGATACAGGAAGCAGAGAAGGAATGGAGAAATGGACACAGGAACCAATGATGAAATGGAGGAGTTGAAACTAATGAAGGAATGGAGGAGTGGACACAGGAACTAATGAAGTAATGAATGAATGGGTAAAGGAACCAATGAAGGAATGGATAAAGGAACTAATGAAGGGATGAATGAATGGATACAAGAACCAATGAAGGAATGAATGAATGAATGGACAGGAACCAATGAAGGAATGAATGAATGGATACAGGAACCAATGAATGGATGAATAAATGAATGGATACAGGAACTAATGAAGGAATGGATGAATGGATACAGGAACTAATGAAGGAATGAATGAATGGATACAGCAATGGAGGAGTGAATATAGAAACTAATGAAGGAATAAATGAATGGAAACAGGAACTAATGATGGAAGGAATAAATGGATATAGGAAAAAATGAAGGAATAGAAGAGTGAATCAGGAACTGATGAAGGAAGGAATGAATGGATACAGGAACTAATGAAGGAAGGAATGAATGGATATAGGAAAAATGAAGGAATGGAAGAGTGGATCAGGAACCAATGAAGGAATAAAAGAATGGATACAGGAACTAATGAAGAAATAAATGAATGGATACAAAAACTAATGAAGGAATGGAGGAGTGGATCAGGAACTAATGAAGGAAGGAATGAATGGATACAGGAACTAATGAAGGAATGGAGGAGTGGATCAGGAACTAATGAAGGAAGGAATGAATGGATACAGGAACTAATGAAGGAATGGAGGAGTGGATCAGGAACTAATGAAGGAAGGAATGAATGGATACAGGAACTAATGAAGGAATAGGTGATGTCCACGCTCACAAGAGACAGACACGCCCTGGACCACCGGCGAGGGCTCCTCCCGCTGCTGAGGGCTCCTCAGTGGGCCCCGGTGACTTTTGATCTGGAAAATACTTTTGGAACGAGATGTGAATCACAGGGAGGGAGAGGATACAGGCAGACATCCGGGTACCCACGGCTCTGCAGCCCTGTCCTCTGCTGGCAACGTGGTCTGACGATCCCCGCCTCCCAGAAGCCGTCTTCCCGGTTCCAGAATCCTTCGCGGAGTGCCCTCTGCCCTGAGACGAATGACATTCATTCAGCCACCATCACAGGGACAGGCTCGGGTGCGCCTCGGTTCTCAACCTGCCAGCTGTGTGACCCGAGCAAGTGTCTGAACCTCTCTGATCCGTGGGCCCCGCCCTCCGTAAAATGGAACTGAAATGACTCTTGCTGAGAACTACAATGACTCTTGTCATGACGGGGTGAGGAAAGTACCTGGCCCGGTGCCAGGATGAGGAAGGCAGATAGATCGATGTCCCCGCCCCCCACCCCCACCCCTCTCCAGTTCTTTCTCAGAGTTTCAGCATCTCTACCTCCTGGGTGTGATGCACCTGCCTCATTACACTGACTCTTTCCCCTCCTCAGCCCGGCCTCACAGTGCCAGGGGAGCCCTGGCTGCTAGCTGGCCCCTGGAGGCTCCCCTTACAGATGGGGAATGGGAGCCCAGAGAGGGTCTTTAACCTCCCTGAGGACACACAGCAAGCCCCAGCTCAGTATTTTGCCCTGAAGGGTTGTTGCTTTCCCCTTTCCCCTGCTTCCTTATCCTTCCTCTGCATGTCCACCCCCGCACCCCCTTATCATACTTGTCTCATGAGGAGTCCTGCGGTGCTGATCATAGCTCCCCAGGGACCCTCCGGCTCGGGAAGTGATGGATTTCCCAGGAAAGTACCCCGCCAACATCTGGGACCCCATGTGGCTGCCTCTGGAATGGCATGCTCCCTTGGGACCCTGTGTGAGCTGGTGTGCGAGCTGGGCCTGAGCCAGCCCCCAGTGGGGAAACAGGCCACATTGTTTGCAAACACAGGATGTCAACAAGGGAAGGGGTGTGACCGCAGCGGCAGGGGCGCCTCCCCACTCTCCCACGCCCCTGAGTTCTCGGCAGCATTGCTGCCCAGCGCCCTTCCCTCCACGCACAGGCCCCGGGCCCTCCCTCGCCGCCTGCTAAAAACACGGAATCCAGGTCTCAGCGAGATGCATCCTGAACCCCAGCGGGAGAAGGCACTGGTGTCCCTCAGGGGCGCGCAGCTTCGATCCTCAAACGAGCTTCCCCTAGTCTTGTGGTCGGCAAACTGCGGCTAGAGAGCCACAGGCGGCTCTTTGGCCCCTTGAGTGTGGCTCTTCCACAAAATACCACGGCCTGGGCGGGTCTATTTTGAAGAAGTGGCGTTAGAAGAAGTTTCAGTTTAAAAAATGTGGCTCTCCAAAGAAATGTCAATCGTTGTGCTTGTCGATATTTGGCTCTGTGGACTCATGAGTTTGCCGACCACTGCCCACTGCCCTAGTCCCAGTGTCCAGCAGGCTGCGTCCAGGGAAGGCCCCAACAAAACCACGAGCATGGCGGGTGGGCTGGCTACACGGCCTGCGGATGCCTCTTCTCCTTTGGTGCCTGGTGTGTTTGAAGTTCAGAGAGGGACAGTGCTTTGCCCAAGGTCACACAGCAGGTCCAGGAGGGGCTGCTCCCGCCTTGCCAGCGCAGGCCGGCGCCAAGTGGCCCCAGACACACCCTGGAGGCCCCTGGGTGACGCGTGTTGGGGGGGTGCTTGTCTTCCCGGCCAGATCCTGCAGCTCCTGCGAGGCAAGCTGGTGGTGGGTCATGACCTGAAGCATGACTTTGACGCTCTGAAAGAGGACATGAGCAACTACGCCATCTACGACACGTCCACCGACAGGCTGCTGAAACGCAAAGCCGGCCTGCAGCACTGCCAGCGGGTCTCCCTCCGCGTGCTCAGCGAGCGCCTCCTGGGGATGTACATCCAGGTGAGTGAGGTAGGCCCTCCCTCCCGCCCTTCCCAGGCTGGGGCAGCGGCACCCCCAGAAGAGTCTGCTCTAGGGGGCCCGGCCCTTCCCTCCAAGACACTGAACCCCATTGGGGGCAACAGAGCAAATATTTGGCCCCAGAGACACTCTGAGTCCCCTTAGCCCTGAGGGGCTGGGCACGTTTGAGAGGGGCCGTGTCTCGTTACGGATTCCGGGGTCATGGGTGTTGATCCCGCACCTGCTGAACCAGAGGCTGGGGACGTCCGGTGAGCGACGCCCTGTCCTGGAGGGACTCTTGCTTCCGGGGAGGGAAGGGCAGGCATCCTGGGGGCACAGGTGGCGATGGGTGGCAGACAGGAGACCAGATCTGGGTGGAGTCCGAAAGGTGGCTGTGCGTAGGGGCGGGCAGGAGACGGGGTGCACCAGGGGGCAGTATGGGTCCCAGCCTGCTGGGCTGGGGAGCGGGGATCGTGCAGGACGCAGGAGCGAGGGCTGGGTGGGGGCTCCTCTGTCAGCCGTGAGGCACACAGGGCCAGGGACAGAAGGGCCGGCGCACGGGTTCGCCCAACGGCACCTTCTCGGCCAGCTGAGCGAGTGACACTGTGGAAACCCTCGGTGACATATTCCTGGGGGCCAGTGAGCACCCTGCAAAGCTGCTCCGGCCCCTCTGTGTCCTGTAGCAAGTCTGCAGTGCCATCGGCCACGGGGACTGAGGGCCCTGAGGTCCCGCTGGTTCCCAGGATGCTGATGATGAGGTGCCTGGCCGGGTCCCGGTCCCAGGGCTGATGGGGGGGAGGGGGGGTGGCCAGGCCCGCTCCAGCCACCCGCTGTGTCCAGGGTGTCAGAGTCCTGGGGAGACCCACCCACCGGCCCACCCACCTCGGGGCCTGGACGGCCGGGTGTGAGCAGGGAAGGGCAGGTCACACGAGGCTTGTGCCTGAGGCCCGTCCCCAAGTCCCCCCTCTGTCCGTGTGTCTGCAGAGGAGCAAGTCCGGCCACAGCTCGGTGGAAGACGCCAGGGCGACCATGGAACTCTACCAACTCTCCAGGAGGATCCGCAACCGCTGAGGGCCGCCCACCGGGCGGTGCCCGCTGGACTCAGCCCCTCCTCCGGGGGCCCCGGGCCCCCCTGCAGGACAGCAGCTGCTTTGCCTCTGGAAAATGCATCCTTCGCAGTAAAATGCCTCTATATTTTCTCTACGACGTCTCCAGTCCTCTTCTTGTCTTTTTCCTTCCTTCTCTCCGAGCCGGGGGGGCCCGGTTTGAGTGATGCTGAGAGGGTCCACGGGGACTTGCGTCGGGATGTGGGGGGCGAGTGTCCGTTTCCTTAACACCCTGGATCCTGGGAGTTGCGTGACTCGCTGCCTCCCTTTCCCAGTGGCTTCCACGCCCAGAGAGGTGGCGTTATTCTCAGGGGGTGGCGCCCAGCTCAAAGGTCCATCCATCCCATCCCTGAGGTTGGTGTCGCAGCAACGGTGAGGTGTGAAGCGAAGGCAGAGGGCCTGGGATGGGTGTCATCCCTGGCGACCTTCACTGAGCCCGTGGACACTAGAGTCTCAGAGAACGAGGCTGGAGTCCCGGTTCTGCCATTTGGCAGCGGCGTGCTACAGGGCGAGTTACTGAACCTCCCCGCGCCTCAGTTTCTCCATCTGTCAAACGGGGAGCTCTTAACAATTCATAGGATTCTTGGGAGATGCTGCCTACGAGATCTCGTCACTGCACCTGTCACCGCACCACATGTCATGACTGGAGCTTCGTCTCTGGACCACCTGAGTGAGGGTCAGGGGACCCCGGGGAGAGCAGCCGTGCCCGGCCTGGCCCTCTGAAGGTGGTGTCATGTGCAGGGAGAGGGGGCTACGCCAGAGCAATGTCTGCCCATTGGAATCGGATATAGAGCTGTTTCCATCTGTGCCTGGGCCTCAGGTTAGGCACACTAACCATGAATGGCTGTTCTTTTTTTTTTTTTTAATATATATTTTTATTGATTTTAGAGAGGAAGGGAGAGGGAGAGAGAAAAACATCAATGATGGGAGAGAATCATGGATCAGCTGCCTCCTGCACACCCCCTACTGGAGGATGGAGCCCACAACCCGGGCCTGTGCCCTGACCAGGAATCAATCTGTGACCTCCTGGTTTGTGGGTTGATGTTCAACCACTGAGCCACACTGGCTAAGCAAGAATGGCTGTGCTCTTTAGGATATCTGAGTCATGCCCGAGGGCTTGGTTAAGCAGCCCCAGTATCTGGAGGTGCTGGGCCCACACCCCATTTCTTTCTTTCTTTTTTATTATTATTAATATATTTTACTGATTTTTTTTACAAAGAGGAAGAGAGAGGGATAGAGAGTCAGAAACATCGATGAGAGAGAAACATCTATTAGCTGCTTCTTGCACACCCCCTACTGGGGATGTGCCTGCAACCAAGGTGCATGCCCTGGACCGAAATCAAACCTGCAGACCCTTCAGTCTGCAGGCCGACGCTCTATCCACTGAGCCAGACCGGTTTCAGCCCACACCCCATTTCTGACTCAGTGGGTGCAGGAGGAGCCTCAGAATCTGAATTCCTAGCAAGTTTCCTGTCGCAGCTGCTCTCGCTGGCCCAGGACCAGGCCTCAAGAGGCACCGCCTAAGCGTCAGGTGGCTGAAACGTGCAGCCAGGGTTCAGAGTCACTGCCCAAGCGCTGAGGGCCACCAGGCCCGACTCCTATCATTGGTCCAGCCCCTTCCCCTGCCATCTCCCTTGCTGCCTGCTCATGCAGAGGGCCACTGCAGCGCCGCTACAAATAAGGTTGAGGGCATAAAGGATTCGAACCCAGGCCTTTCAGACTCCCAACTAGAGTGCTTCCCACTTCCACTGCTTTGTTAGGCTGTGCCTCCCAGTTCACACCCTAACCTCTGTGAACCAGGAAGGCTCCCTCCCAGGTTGGGGGGCGGGGGAGGCGGGCGGGGGGAGGCGGGGGAGAGGTGCAGTTTGGCATTTTCATGGCTCACTGCTGCCCCCTGCTGTTACATGATTTTTGTAAACCTCCAAAGCGGCTAGGTGCAGCTGCTAGGTCTGGCCACCAGGTGGTGCTCTTGGTCCGTCTATCAGTCAGGCTGCGGTGCAGACAGAACCAGCCTGAGCAACTCGGGGAGGCGGGGAAAGGAGAAGGGAAGAGGTGTGAGGGGCCATGTCTGCAAAAATGAGCACAGGGCTGCTCCAGAGAGGCGCTGGGCAGTGATGCAGCCAGGCCTGCAAGGTAGCCCCAGGCTCCCCAACTCCCAGCAAGTTTCTTCCTACTGCCTCAGGCTTCCTTGAAAGGAGAGATGAACCAGGATTCCCACAGGAAATGTAACCCGACTTCCAGCTTCTGGCTGAAGTGCTTAGATGTCCCCGAGGGGAGAGAAAACACAGGGCAGCCTGGCTTGAGTCTCACCTCTGAGGAGCTCAGTGTTCCCATCCATCAAATGGGCTGAGCGAAGAATTGAGATCTCACACACAGGCTGCCCAGCAGGGCCCCATACGCAGCACCCACCACTACTGATCCTAATAAAAGCCAGGAGCTGCCTCTGGACCACCCCTCGAGACCACCAACCTAGCTCGGTCCCTACGAAAATAGTCTGTGCCTGCAAATACTGGGTCTAACTCAGTGGTCGGCAAACTCATGAGTCCACAGAGCCAAGTATCAACGGTACTACGATTGACATTTCTTTGGAGAGCCACATTTTTTTAAACTGAAACTTCTTCTAACGCAACCTCTTCAAAGCAGACTCGCCCAGGCCGGGGTGTTTTGTGGAAGAGCCACACTCAAGGGGCCACGGAGCTAAGGACATGGGCAGCGTCCCCCAGGCCAGGACCTGAACCGTCAATGGCGTGGCTTTGCCAGAATAAACCGAGACACAGAATCACCGCCTGCCACCTAACTCTGAAAGCCACCAGGAAGAAGGGGGGGCGGGGGGAGAGAGACACACGCTGGAAATGACCATCTAAATACAGCCCGGCCTCGCTGAGCACACCTGAGTCACCAGACACAGGCCAGCGTGCCGCCTGCGGAGTGAGGGGCTGGGGGAGGCTGCCTGCGGCTCTCTGGCCCCCTAGCCTCCCCGCATCTGCCAGCCCAGCCTGAATGGGGACAGGCGCCCCTACTCAGAGACAGGACTCACTGCATTGACCTGCCCAGCACCTTCAGGCCCCTGCTCCCCACTGTCCCCCACCCCCTCTGAGGGCCGCTGTCCCGCTGGCCGGGCCCCGTCGGGTTCCCAGAGTGCTACGGAACGCTGCCCGCTTCCTGCCCGGAGGGCCGGGCTGGGCCGGGCTCTGCGGCCAAGAGTCTTACTCACTGGTGGAACAATCTCTCCTCTATATGGAAAGAATATGTGCTCTCCCTGCAGGGAAGCGGGGAGGAGGGGGGCTTGAGTAGCTCTGCCGAGACATGGAGGGGAAGGTAAGCTTTGGGCTGGTCGCGGCACCCCGATTCCCAGTGAGCAAGGGGGGGTGGGGGAGGGTGGCAGACTCTGGCTGGGGCCTCGGCTTTAGGACACAGAGCTGGTCCCTCGCTCAGGGCTGGATGTCCAATACACCTTCATTTTCGTGTCCCATTTGATGGCTTAAAGCAGAGGTCTGCAAACTGCGGCTCGCGAGCCACATGCGGCGCTTTGGCCCCTTGAGTTTTTAGCAAAGGCCAGCTTAGGAGTACCCTCATTTGTTCCGCCCTGCAGTCCTGTAAACTCCCCACATGTTGTCCCCATTTTCACAGGCACAGAGAGGTTAAGCGACCGGCCCAAGATCAGACAGTAAGTGGCAGAGCTGGGATTTGAACCCGGGCCCACAGGTTCAACCTTTTAAACCCTGCCCGGCATAGACCTTGCACTTTATCCCTGGAAAGGAGAGGGTAAGCCAATAGTTTCTCAGCACCAGCTGCCTGATGAGGTCATTCATTACCTTCATTCCATTTTCAGAGATATTTTTTTTAAAATATCTATTTTATTGATTTTTTTTTTTTTTTTTACAGAGAGGAAGGGAGAGGGATAGAGAGTTAGAAACATGCATGAGAGAGAAACATCCATCAGCTTTCTCCTGCACACCTCCTTCCGGGGATGTGCCCGCAATCAAGGTACATGCCCTTGACTGGAATCGAACCTGGGACGCTTCAGTCCACAGGCCAACGCTCTATCCGCTGAGCCAAACCGGTTTTTTTGGACTATTTTGGAGATAGTATCATCATCCCTGTTTTACCGACAAGGAAACTGAGGCTCAGAGAGCGCCGTATGGAACTTGCTCAAGGCCACACAGTGACTCTGTGACAGAGCCTGGGTTCGAATATAAGCCTGCCTCGCTGCAAAACGCGGCACATAATAGTAGCTCAATAAACGCCGGGCCCCTTCTGTCTACTCCGAGTCCAGGAGTCATCTCCTACACGCATGTCTGGCCTGGCCTGGCCCCCTGTTCCCCAACCCCCTCCCCCCACCTCAGCCAGACCACTTACTGTTGGCAAGCAGGCCAGAAAAAGCCAGAGAGAGCGAGGAGACTTTAGTCAGGGGCGGACTGGAGCCTCACGCCCTCCCCTCGGCCCACCCACCTCCCCGCAGGGACCTCAGGACGGGAGCCAGCGGAGCAGACAAGGGCCGCATGGATCGGCAGCCGGCAGCGGGCCCCCGGGGCGGGCAGCCAGGTGCCCGCGGCCACAGGAGAGAAGGGCTCCCCTTCTCTCCGCTCAAAGGTGGATTGAGGAGGGCTGGCCCCGTGATTTTTCCAAGAAGCTCGTCTAGAGCCAGAGAATGGGAACATCTGTGCCGTGGGGCTCGGTTCTGGATGCGGCTCAGGCCACAGTCTGGGGCTGGCGTCAGCTGGAGAGAGCTCTGGGCCGCTGGCCGGCCGGTGGGGCCCGCTGGGGCCCAGGCCAGGCAGGGGAGCGAGGAGAAGCCTGAGGCTGGGGTGCCGGGGGCCTTCTCCGTCACCTGCTCCTGCTAAGGAGCTGGAGAGGGTCCTGGCCACCCAGCAGGCAGGCCGGGGGCTATGGCTCCCTGTTCCAGACCCACACACCTCCCTTTCCCCCTGCCACTCAAGACGGACAATGTGGGCATCTCTTGCT